CCCGCAGCCCAGACCCGCCGTCCCGGACCCGGAGGCCAAGCCACCCCGCTCCGGCCCGCGTTTGCAGGAGCCCCGAAATCCAGAAGCCCGGTGGCTGTCCTCCGAAGCAGTGACGCGCGGCGACGGGACCTGGGTGACCCGTGGGGCGGGGCTGTTCAGGGGCACGAAGTCCTTGGACTTTGATCGAAGGCACCCTCCGCAGAGCCCCTGCCCCGCGGGTTTTGCCCGGCGGCGGACCAGGGCCCCTCTCATTTAGCGGTTCTTCCCTGGCCGGCTCCCTGGTTCCCCAAAGTTACAAACAGATGTTTCGTGAGGAGGTTGGGACCTAAAGTATTCTTTGTGCAAAGGCAACCAAAAGCCAAAGGGAGAGGTCAGGCCAAGGAGTGGTGGGCTTGGCTCTGCGTTGGCCCTAAGTTTATGTAGGTTTTGCCTTCACCTCTTCTTTCTCCGTTTCCCTAAAAGAGTTGGGTTTCCCGGTTAAGACTTAGCGGCTGAACTGTGCACCCGCGCGCTGAGCCGCAGCCCCGCGGCCCCTCACTCTCGGACAGGCCGGGCGGGCTCAGATTCGCACTCGCTGGCCAAGCCGGGCCTGAGTCGGGATCCAAACCGGGGACGGATCCTCGGCCATGCCTGAAACGCAGGCTTTGGCCCCAGCCCTGGAACCGCGTTGGCCTAATGCTTCCTGAGCTCGTGCATATGGTGGTAAAATTTCTGCTAGAGCGGTGTTTCCGAATACCCCCTGGGCATTTGGTGTGCGGGAATTTTCTTCAAGCGAAGAAGTCTGTGAACTTAAAAAATCTTTCCTGAGTTCTACACAGCCGCCCATTACCCTGGCCCCATTTCCCATTGTTCTTTGCTTTTTAAGTTGCCTGTTAATTTTTTAAAAGTTTATTTACGCAAAGGAAAAATACGGTTTAATTTGTTCTATGATTTTAATTCTTGGCTTTTGGAAACGGTTCAGAGACCACAAAAATGTCACCTGTTGTAATAAGCAGAGAAGTGTTGTGTGTGCGTTTTAATTGCCAGCAGAGTCGCAGTTTGGTGGGCGTTCAGAGCTCGGGCTCGGGGAAAGAGGCTTTTGCAGCTTTCTTTGTGGCAGTCATTTGCAAGTGGGTTTGGCTCCCAGAGGCAGCGGGAGCAGCAGCGGCGCCGCTTCCTTCTACGCTGATTGCCGGCGCGGGTCAGGAAGCCCAGACCCTGGACAGGGATGGTCCCAGGCTGGGGTGGGAGACTGCCGGCTCGCTGAGACTTTCTCCCTGGCTTTCGGTTTTTCAGTGCAAAGTGGCTAGTTCGCGCCGGAGAGCGCGGAGCGCTGCGCATCAGCCCAGCTTCAGACATCTTCACGTTCCAAACGCCAGCTTCTTCGTTTCATTTGTCTTGGTTCTGGCATGTTTAACCACGCAATTAGTAATCTCACTAATTATTCAGTTATCTGGAGTTTTCTAATCACTTTAAACCAGGGTCGGTTATGTGATTTAACAAACTCACACCCATACATCCCTGAACCAAACCCATCACGTCAAGGATTTGAAATTTTTAAAACTCAGTATTTGTTGGTCCCTCCGTCCAACCTCACTGCCTGCCAGACAATTTATTTAGCTTCGTGGATTGATCCCTCCTCCTTGTTTAGTTAATTCAACAAAGACTTTTTGCAATCTGTTTGGAGTTTGTCTGATGCCGTGGAAAAGTAGCTGATGATTTATTTGGTTGCTTTTCGATTTCTGTCTTCAGCCCTTCTTTCTCCTCCTTTCAGCGGGGATGTCAGCTGTTATTACTTCCTATTGATCCCTTTGCAAAGTGAGAAGTGAACTAAAATTAATGTCAATTCCACTGCTCGGATCAATAGCTGGAGTTATTTTAATCTGGATTTGCACGAAGTGCTAAATTAAAAAAAATCAGCATAGAGGCAGAAAAGTAACAGTTACTTACTTTCCTTTTGCCCGGTTCTTTACAGTCACCCAAATGCTCCATCAAACTGATTATCTTACAATCCATATTTTTTTAATTAAGAGGGTCAGTTAGTTTTCTTATTTTGGGTTCTGTGTTTAAACCCATGACATTTTGACATTGAGAGTGTATTAACTATAGATTTTCATAATGACTGTGGTCTGCTGAAGCCTCATCTATACAAGTTGTTAATGTGAGGAGGGGGTAAGAAAGAAAAGGGAAGAGAAAAACAGCACTCCCCCTTCCCCCACAGAGACCAACGCCCACACAGTGGAGTAAAAGAGATGTGGCCTGGGAAAATATTGTTGATTTATTTTCAGTATAATGAAGTTTCAAATGAATAACCAGGTTGGAGTGATTCACCGTGTTCTGTTGGAGTGTCCGGTGCTGTCGCCAGATTACTAATTTATGAAACTCATTTAACATAATGAGGTGATCCAGGAAGTAAAAATAAAAAGCGAATCCTCTGGGTGATGGTTATTTCGGGGTGAAAACATTTCACCCCTGCCTCTAGTGTATTATGTTTGCCCTTTTTCCAGCTTGCCTCATGTAGTACTGCTTGTTCAACGGACAAGTAGTTCCTTATTTCTGTTGTGAGGAGCTGCTTAGAACCCTTGGAACTGCCTTGGACCCACTTTCAAAGCATCCATGTTGTATGACCATTAATTTGACTTGAAAACAGCCAAGAACAGGATTCCCAGACTTGTCAGGCTAACTGGCTGTCCTTGGCAGATCATTCCCTGCACTGCTATAACTTGACAGGAAAGTTATTTAAAATTTGGAAGAGAGAAAAATCCGTTAATGTGAGATACATAATCTGGTAATTTAGCAATGATGTCTATAAGGAAAGGTGCCAAATGAGGAAGCAGTCTGATGGTGTGCACTCATCTTCCCAATTAATAACAGTCATTGACGTGTCTGCTACAGGATGGGAGAAGGAAATACTCTCTATGCACTGCATTAAGCCGGGAGGATCCATCCACTGCTTAACTGAGGCTTCTCTATTTGAGGGAATATGAAAGATACTCCTTTATCTTGGTGGGTTTTTTTTTAAGGGTTGGGGTAAGTCTTATTTGAGACATGACTCACAATTTAGAGGTTATAATTTGCAGCAGATGGTGCTTTTTGGTTACACTTTGAGTTTCATTAAGTTTTTCTTTAGTGGATTTTTTTGAAGCTAATAAGTCCTCATATTCATTTTCTGTTATCCTGACTTTTATATACAGCCCTCTCACATCTCCCACTCAAAATAAATTTTGAAACAGAATCAGTGGCTGTGGAAATGTACAGCCTAAATTTAAAAGGGAAATTGAAAGAAGTCTTTCTGAACTCCAGCATGTTCCAGGGGCCTTGAGCGGACATCAACTCTGACACGGCCAATAAGCAGAGGAAAATAAGTCAGAAATTTTGTTAACATTTTGCTCTAAATGTTAATGGCAAATTCGAGGCAGTTTACAAATCTACTTAAGAGTGAGTGCATTAGTAACTAAAATTACCAATCCGTTCTTTGCTGCCCCTGGAAGGCAGACGCTTCTAGAGAACATATGCCAAAGGCACTCATTATGTTTTTAAATATTGTCAGAGACGCCAGGCACTTTATTGATGAAGGTTTTGTTCCTCCTCAGAAAAGAGAAAGCCTATGTGATTAGAGGGGTGTGGATAAAAAATAATGCTGTTGTTGTTTCTTCACATAGTACTTCTTTCTGGAAACAGTCTCTGATGATACATGGGGATGTGTGTTTATATATGTGCCAATGAGTGTGATTTATTCACATGTACAATTTGTACCAACTAACACGCAGAGATGTTCGTCGTCTAGATGTGCTTGATTTAGGGGTTTTTCCATATCAGAGAATTGTTAGGGAAGATAAAGAGAGGATGTAGAAGGGGGGGTTGTATGGGCAGAACCTGGTCTCTGAACATCAGGCCTGCAATGAGTAGTATATGCAGGTGGAGGCCCTTTAAAATATAGACCCCCACCTAATCTACTGGGTGACTTGGCCTTCCAAAGCTCATTTGCTCAGGGAATATTGTATTTGGAGGTTTTATGATTTTTTTTCCTTTGCTGGGCTCAGGCGCATTTCACCCGGAACGTGTAGGGACCAAAGTCAGCTACGCGTACATCACAGTAAGTTGTCTATTGATTTTCCTGAATGAAAATGGTCTGATGCTGCTGCCCACTGGCTCCTAAAGCCTGTGGTGTCTCTTGCCCGAGCATCTGTAAGCCAGAAGGATGGTGTTTCGATCACTTGGGGTTTCCCTTTTTTTTTTCCTCCCCCTGACCTTCCTCCCCCTCGTTTTTTTCTCTTTGCTGTTTCCACAGGTCTTAGAAGGGGATGATTCCCCAGTAATATTCCCTGCCCTGATCCCAGGTGCCACTCCCTCCCAGGGAAGACTGCTTCTTGTGTGACGCCGGCCACAGAAAGAGACTCCGATGGACTTACACCGGGCAGCCTTCAAGATGGAGAACTCTTCCTACCTCCCCAACCCGCTGGCATCCCCAGCACTGATGGTCCTGGCGTCCACGGCTGAGGCCAGCCGTGATGCTTCCATCCCTTGTCAGCAGCCACGACCCTTTGGTGTGCCTGTCTCAGTAGACAAGGACGTGCATATTCCATTCACCAATGGTTCCTACACCTTTGCCTCTATGTACCACCGGCAAGGTGGGGTGCCGGGCACTTTTGCCAATCGTGATTTTCCCCCTTCTTTACTACATCTCCACCCGCAGTTTGCCCCCCCAAATCTAGATTGCACCCCAATCAGTATGCTGAACCATAGTGGAGTGGGGGCCTTCCGTCCCTTTGCCTCCACTGAGGACCGGGAGAGTTATCAGTCAGCCTTCACACCGGCCAAGCGACTTAAAAACTGCCATGACACAGAGTCTCCCCACTTGCGCTTCTCAGATGCAGATGGCAAGGAATATGACTTTGGGACACAGCTGCCATCTAGCTCCCCCGGTTCACTTAAGGTTGACGACACTGGGAAGAAGATTTTTGCTGTCTCTGGCCTCATTTCGGATCGAGAAGCCTCATCGAGCCCAGAGGATCGGAATGACAGATGTAAGTACTTTGGTGCCGCCCTCCCTGAACCCCAGTGAGCCCTGCCTTACCGTAGGATTCAACAGGTCGGTGGCACGGGAAGGGCCAACCCCTTCCCATTCGATAGCTATGGAGTGCTGACATTTACTTGTCTCTTATCAATGAGCATTGATAGTTCTTGTAGGAAATGTTTTTCTGAAGGTGGCCACAGGCATGTTGGCCTGTACTATGCTTCTCTCCAGGCTGTGATGGGCTCACTCTCTGGGGACTCTGGAGTGGAGAGGGTGCTATATACGTACTGGAGTGAATGTCATCTCATTAGAAAACGTAGGTTCCTAGGGGATTTGGAGGACCTGAAGAAACTCGTCCAGCCGTCCTGTCCTTGCTGTCCTCACTGTTTCTCTGATCTCAGTATTATTTTTTAGCTTTTCCATTGTATCACAGCCAGCAGACCCCACGTGATTTTATTTTCACAACTCTCAGGCCTTGTCCAAATCAGGCTGTTTTTCAGAGACGGACAAAGGTGTCGTCAATCACCATAAAGCATTTCAAACAGCTGTGTTTTCCTGGCGATTGCAAGGCTAGACAGCCGACTTCTCTTGGGATTTAACAGGTTTGCTGGCTGCTTATCCTGGGGCTCACTTTTAGGACCAGACATGGTTGACCTGTGCAACTCTCCAGATTCGATGCCACAACTATTAGTAATTTCTGCTTCTGGAACAGCTTTCTCGTGTTATCCAAGTGCCTTGTTGGGCTTTAGTTACTCTCACTAATAGTTGGAGCTAAACCTTTATTTGAAACTTGTAGACTAGTAGCATTGAACTCCGCCATCTCGTTCTCTAATATAATCAGAAAATAATTGTGTTTTGAAGCTTTTGGACTATGGGTAGACCCCACAGAGCAGTTTTCTTCAAGCCTGGTGAGAATTTATGAACTGAGGGTGTTTTTCTACCCAAGCCTTTGTTCTAAGATTTGCTTCATTTTATTTTCTTAAGAAAACTACATCTGAGGTTTGCTTTCCCCTCTTCTTTATTTTTTGTGCTCCCGTCTTCTCTACAACCACCACCACGAATGCCATTTTTTTCTCTTCTCTTTATGATGCCGAGGAGAGTAATAGAGACGTTGCAGCTCTCTCCCCTGTCGGCACTGCTTCCTCAGGCTGTCTCCTTGAATTAGGCACTGTGTTAACTTTCCTGCGCTAAAAGGCATCTGCCTAAACCCAGCGTACCTTTTCAATAAAAGTCATCATAAAATCAACCTGCCTTGTAAATCCACCCCTCTTTGGTTTTGAAATATGTTGCCAGTGTGTCTTTTATGTCAGCGTCTGTAAGCCCAAGACCTCCCCATTTAAGGGAAAAGGCTGCTATCTGACAGCACAACTGCCCGTGTTCTCTCTCTATCATTTGCTTTAGCACCTCTTCTACACTTTCCCTTTCTGTACAGCTGATGTGCATGTGTGTGTGCGTGTGCGCACATGTATGTGATGATCCTGCTTTGGGGATATACTTGCTGAACATGGATTGGCATTGCGTCAGTCTGTTTCATTTTAGTTGAGCTGAGTTGAGTTTTCGTTTGTCAATGTGCAAGTGATCAGGGCTAGCTTTAATCTGACCTTCGACCAAAACTGCCCTGGCTTTGGGGGTGACAGGTTCTGCTTTTTTTTCCCCCTCCAAATACAAGTTGAAAATGAAATCCTCGCAAAACTAACATGCCACAAAGTAACACCTGGAGATCAAGATCCCTTTCTTCTCTCCTAACAAATCCAGCTTGTCTCCATTTTGCCATTTTTTTAGCCCAAAACTGTATCAGACCCCCAGAGCAGGAGGAAGCTTGTTCGTTAAGTCAGAACTCGTAGATGTGGCTATCCATTCCCCTCCGAGTGTCAAAGCCATAACTCTTCCCTTTGCCTGGTTTGCATTGTGTGAGGTGCCGGCCCCCATGGAGATGGATCCCTCACACAGGAGTACGCCTGGGTGGAGAAAAATTAAATGAGTCTGTCTCCCAAAGTGAAATGGAATTCTGACCTTGAAATTAATGAGATTCTGATCAGAAGCGTGGGGAAACTTCTTTATTTCAGATTGTAGTGTTGTATACATTGGAGCCCTTTCCCCTTTTATTTGTTTAAAATATCCCTCTCTAGTGAGTATTTTGTGTTCTCTTTTTTTCTCTTATACACACATTAGACCTAGAGGCGTGTCTCTCAGTGTAGGATGTTAGTCCGCTCACATGATTTTGTAGAGTTGCATTCGTGACTGATCTTTAATAACAAGTAAAGGTGCAAAGTGAATAGAAGACCGTTTCCCTGTGATAACTCTGGATTTGTGCTCCTTTCTCTTTTCCTTTTCCTGGGTGGTATAGCAGCCTTCACAGGGTTATACTGGGTAGCATTTGTGCTTTTGATTTTGAGTTTTGGGAAAGCCGGAGAAACATTTTTCTGTAGGGAAGGGTTGAAGAGGCACTGTGACAAAGTCTGCTGCAGCTTTCTTGGCTCCTGTCATATGTCGACGTGTGTCGGAATATTTATGGTCTGTTTTATGTAAATACATATTTAAGGGCTGTTAGAAGGCCTGATTATTCCCACTAGATGCCTTTCAGTTCCTCCCTACAGAACCGTTTTGAAATAAGTAATATTTCTCAGATAATCGAGTGACAGGATACAAGACTGCTTCCAAAGGGAGAGCTTGAGGGGTAGATAGGGCCGTGACGGGGGTGAGGAGGCGAGAAGAGAGAAGATAGAAAATGTTCAAAAGAGCAAAGTAATAGGTTACAGTGGCTTTTGCCCAGATTGCCAAAATGAACCATGTATATTTTACGGGGTTTTTTGGGGGGAGGGATAAGTAATTAAATTTATCTGTTTATTATTTTTGGTGGAGGTACCGAGGATTGAACCCAAGACCTTGTGCGTGCTAGGCCTGCACTCTACCACTGAGCTATACCCTTCCCCCTTTGTTTTAGGTTTTTTTCATTCTTAAAATTTAGAGTAAATTTTTGGAATGGTTGACTGACTTCCACTCTCTTCATATACATAAAATATTTTTTTCATAAAATATGAAAAAAATTTTAACTAAATACAACAGTTAAACTCCTAAATAAGCATGGAACTTTAGGGTTTTGTTGGGGGAGGGGGTTAGTATGGGTACTTAGAGTAGAAGTTTTACGACTGAATTTTAGGTCAATGAAAAATCAGTTTTACAGTGGAAACACTGACGGTTTTTACTGTCACAGCCACCCCTGCTCACACACTGCGTCCATATGCAGATATATCCACATCTGAGAGCATTTGAAAGAGGGGCCTGCAGACATGGTGTAATGCACACATGTTCTTTCCTTAAATCTGGGTGCTGATAGGCAGGATTTCTTTTGTGATTAAATATGCATTTTTTGTAGAAGGAAATGTAGCTACTTGGGTAAAGTATCGTCTCTCCCAGTAGATGATTCCAGTTTGCTTGCCTGTTCATCTACCTGCCATCACAGGTGATTCCTGAGGTAGGTGTTGGGCTCTATGGAAAAAAGAAGCCTTTATTCAACAGGACTAACTTATGTGCCCTGGAAGAGGGGAGAAGTGTTTTGTGAGAAGCCATTCGTGGAGGATGCATAATTCCCCAGGAAGGGGACTGAGGTAACTCCTGTTTATTGTCATTCCCTGAACCTGTCTCCAAGGCTCCTTGTCCAGGGAAATGATGTGAAAATTTATGGACCAATTACGAATAGTCCACGTGTGTCTTACATATGAAGTGTCTACAGATATGTTTCCCAGGGCTTTTAAAATAAACATTTCCTCATTAAGGAAACTTTACAACAAAAGGGAAGAAAAGTATTGTCTGCTGCCTTGTACTAGAATCTATACATTTATTACCCCCTTAGCACTCTGGCTCCTATCATGTGCATTTCCTGATTGTTCTCTGTAGACCATTCCTGTGTCCAGTTCCTGTCTGGGTGACACAGTCTTTGGCCAGCCTGGCAGTCTATCCACTCAGCCCAAATCAGAGTTGGCTAGAACGCGTGCCCACCCTGAGGGCTGAGAGGGACCAGGACTGCCCTTGGGGTTGATGGCAGGCCTTGCCCTATGGCTCATCTTGGTGATGGGCACTGGGCCCTGGGCACTGACCCTAAGGGGCCCTCTTTCCTTGGCCTTTCCCTGTGGTCAAACAGATTCTCAGGTAGGCAGGAAATTAGGTGGCTCACAGCAGTTGTCTGATGTTCTGCTTTGCTCTCATCTTTGGTATATTGGAAAGTCATTCAAATCTGAAAAGCCCTGGGTAGGGGATGGTATTTTGTGCTCTGAAATGTGTCTTTGCAAAGGCACGTATCATTGAAGACCCTTTGTCCTAAGAATCAAATCAACTGAGCCCACATAGGCCCAGGGCAACTTGGAATGAGGAGGGCCAGCTACATCATGCGGCTGGTGTGTTAAGGGGGCTACTTCCCAAGGGCTCTGGGACTGGGGTGGGTAGGGACCCTAATCTGGGCTTTTAGGAGAATTGCTCTTGCTGGGTAGAATGTTTGGAGCAGTTCTCAGGTCACCAGGCTCTACTTCTGGATTGTAGCTGATGCAGATGACCACTCTGAAGGGGTGAGCACATCACCAGAGGATATGGGTCAGATGGTACCCTCTGTACTAACTGCCCAGAGGTAGCCTGACTGTAGGCTTAGCTGCTCCCGGGGGTTCTCCTGGAGTCCCTTTTCCCTCCCTCTCCTGGGTGGGTGGGGGTGGAGGGGGCAAGAACTCCTGTGGTGTGTGTGGTGGTTTCTGGTTGTTCACTCCCAACACAGTCATGGAGACTCCTTTTCATGCTGCTGGGTTTAATTGTCTTGTTGGGATAAAGAAATGTTTGCACAGCTAAAGTGGGGCCGGGCTGGACGGGAGCAGTCCCTGATGGCTGCAGAGCCATCTGGCCTGGCTTGGCTTGGCTCGGCGCTCCGCTCGCCCGCCCGCCCGGCGGCTGGGCTCGCTCCCGCTCCCGCTCTCTTCCCCTGCCCTCGCTCCACGCCGCGCCGCTCTGGTCGGCGGCTGCCTCCTC